GGTTCCAAGAAACCAGCCACAGATCCCTGGTCAATTTACCCTTTGGACCTTACCCACAAATCACGCTGGGCCAATCCTTTAGCATCTAACAACTAAAGGATTATTACCACAAGAAAGAAAAGCAGGAGAGTGAGGTTGCTAAAGAATCATACATTACATGCATCAAATCTCCCAGTTCTCGATGCAGGCTCTAGCAGAGATGTTACAGCTGCTGGTTTAAAAGTCCTTGTTGCACATCCTAGAATCAGGATGGGTCCACAGTTCTTTCTGGTTCTTTGATCCCTGCATTGCTGCCTCTGGGATCAAGTGCTGAGCTGAAAACAAAACGGCATCAATCACATGGCCTCTTTATACCTCCTTCCTGGCCTCTTCTGGTATGCAGCAGGTCACCTGGTCCTCAGCCTCTCTCTGCTGGCCGCTCTTAGGCGTCCACCCTCATGCTTTAGGTGTGTCCTTGGCCCATTGAGTGCCATTGTCCCACAGGGCCTCGCTAATTAGCATGTCCACAGGCCCGGGCTCTGCCCAATGCTCAGCCACTTGCAGAGAAGTATTCAGTATCCACACAGACTACAGATTCCTAACTACACACACAGACATTATACAACCACATAAATAGCTTACATAGGATTATCAGATAATAAGCTTGTATTTCGCACCCCACATGGCTCCCTATTATACCATTGTTGGGGCCAGCACCCCCACCTATGGGTGCAGCCATGATCTGGCTGCTTCCCTCAAATTCCAGTAACATGACATGCTGCTATTACCTGGGATGTCCAGGGTGTCCTTCATATTGCAGCACACCAGGAAGCGGCACTTGAGCCAGGAGGCAGGGGTGAAGAGCTGTATTTCGCACCCCACATGGCTCCCTATTATACCATTGTTGGGGCCAGCACCCCCACCTATGGGTGCAGCCATGATCTGGCTGCTTCCCTCAAATTCCAGTAACATGACATGCTGCTATTACCTGGGATGTCCAGGGTGTCCTTCATATTGCAGCACACCAGGAAGCGGCACTTGAGCCAGGAGGCAGGGGTGAAGAGCTGCCAT